GCCAAACTGTATCGACTTAACCGGTTGTATTACTCCAATGAAACGTTATTTACCAAATTTGCTTACCAAATAACTGATTTTAAAATTAATAATTGAAAACTGTAAGAGCCACTTAATTTGTATTCGCATTAATCTTAACGTATTTTATTCTTTCTTTTATACTTATTTATCTCGCAACCTATACGATGCAGCCGCTGATACTTTTACCTTATAAATATTTTTGAAGGCGGTTAAAATTTTTAAAAACTGCTTTATCAGGTTGCTTTCGCTTATTTTTAGCGCGATATTGTATTTCTGTTTCTTTGCCCGTTCACGCTACTTTACTTTAGAAATTAATCAAGCCGTTTTAAAGTTCCTAAAAGAATATAATTAGTCTGTATCAAAGGGTAATTCATAAGTCTGTTGGACTATGACAGTTTCTCACGAGATGTTCCAAAGCTCCGAAATGGTTAAAGAATTTTAAATGAATTACGAGACGGTCCTTTTAGATTACCTGTAACTTTCGACCCCGCAGATCCAAGGTCGCAAATTCTTAATGAGGCACGGGTACGATATATTAATATGAGATCGTATTATAACTTATGATTACTTGGTAGGAATCATCACCATAAAGTAAGATCTCCTTTCAAAAAGTACAGGGAAAAAAAGCCTAATTATATATATAGGCTATAATCGCAATGACAAAAATTAACAAGTATATTTTTTTAAAATAGCTTCGTTAATTTGAGGATAATCTATAACATTATATATATAAATTTTTGAAAAAGTCTGATTTTCGTAAGCGGCGTTTGAGAATTACCTGCCAACAATTCGAGAAAAATCGAATGGTGGCCTGTATCTAACACACATCACCAATCTGTAATCTGTTTTTTCTCCGCGTATCGACAGATTTGGTAGCGAGCGAGTCATCTTAAGACCTTACATATTTGTCAATCGTTGAAACAGCAGATGCGCCCTTATCAATTCCGATCGAATCTTCGTACGCGTCGCTTATAAATTCCACTTTAGTGTTTTTCCCCTTTTCTTTTGAATTATAAAATTTCGATGGGTATCGAATAAAATTGCGGACGGCGTAGCGGCGTTTATCGTTAGGACCGTTGCTTCGCCAAGCGATCGTCGACGGGGCTTGGGGGAGGAAGGAGAAGAAATCGAGACAGACTAACCCGCGATTAACCTCTGGCTGCATAAAGCCCGTGCTTAATTTCTCCCGCCAGTCGGCGACACTGTCAGCGGTCCTGGATTACGTTAGTCAGACTTAACCGTGCACTTGACTTTTATTGAGATGAATTAGGGTGAAGTTAAGTTCACGTCAAGGAAGATAGAGAAGAAAAAAAGAGCGATTCTCCAGCAAGCAAGGCCCTCCTCCCCCTCTTGTATTAGCACATTGGTCGGTCTCCCTGCATGACATCATGTTCAGCAAAGCATTGCTTGTGATCTCGGTGGCCTTTGTGTTGTAAACGCTGTGATTGGAGGTAGAAACAAGAGGGGAGACTAACGCGTCATTAATTTCGGAGAACAATCCTACCCCCGCTGTTGGATCAAGGCAAGGTCTCCCCTGATTGAGAACACACTACTGGAGGATGGCCGAGAGATTATCATTAATCAGACGGTTTCTGCTCCGCTATAACCAAATGGGTTTTAATTTGCCATTGTTTAGAGCAACCGGAGTGTCTTGTTGTTGCAGCAATTCAAGCGTTGTAGATTTATGTTGGCTTTCATACCGACGGCCTCATGAATATTCATTAAGACTCTTAATAACGCTCCCGTAATAACTATTAACTCTCAAAGTTTTCCGGGAGAAAAGACTAGTTCCGCTACTAATGGTAATTAATTCCTGATTGTAAAGATCGCTTGTGCTCTTCTCCTAACGTTTATTGTCGGTTTGGTCAGATCTTTTTTTCCCCTCCCGATTTTCCTTACCTGTTTTTCTAGACCTTGCTAAACGGATATGTTATTGATTTATTAATGGAACCGACCGTGTTCTGGCACATGTTCCGTTCTTTCCGCCTACTCGTACTTATTCTAATCGTAGACTTTTTTGCAGTCTTCCTTTCCCTTTCGTTTGCGGTTCGGGCAAAATTACGCACATTCTGTTCAGAATTGACTTCAACCGGGAGACAACAAAAGCGCTCGGTTGCGGTGCAGCCAAGTCGTTAGTTTAAGTGTTCGCCGCAATTTCTAATGAGCTATTTGGACTTCTAGAGAGAGAGAAATCGGAAAATTTGATTTCTGAGCCGGAACGGGATTTATCTGTACGAGTTTAAAAAACCGGCATGACGAGAGAGAGAAATTGTCGATTATCTTCTTCGTTAGGAGACTTTTTAAACAAACTTTGTAAAAAAATCTTTAGGTTAGTATTACGACAAAGTTCTTTGTTAAAGTCTGCCTCGTTATTTACGCTTTTCGAGCGTTTCCTTTCAGACGTTTACGAGTATCTATCCGACTAATATTGAGAGCAACAGGAACTTATTTGCGCAGAAAACTTGCATAGATCGAAGCCATGCCATCCGTCCGGCTTGTACGGCGACCATCTGTAGGTAGATGTTGTAAACATGTCAACCTCTGTTGTCGTCTGTCGCCTATAGAAAATCGATGGCTCCTGTTGGCCGTATTGATTGCGATTGTCAACGGTATCTTTGTCGGAAGCGTCTCCAGTTCGACCATCTATACTTTAATGTTTCGCCCGTTGTTAGTTATTCCTTTGACGTGTTTGAAAATGCTCGTCGATTTCGACGTTATTTACAATCGATAAACGTGCGCTGCAGAGGTTATAAAAAATTATAATCTTGATATTATAGAAGGAGCATTAGAAGAGCGAATTCTGGAAGTGGCCAGACGTCTTGTTATTGCATGTAACCTGTTGATCAGGCACTCACGTTAGAGGATTCAGTAACCTAATATTTTTATGGATACGGAAATTCCATACCGCATCTTTGTATATTTTCATATTTCATCGTCGCATTGTATTTTTAATTCTTTCGCCTCCGATGTCTTGCTCCAGACGGAAATTTAAATTTATCGGTGTACTTAACCATTGAGGAACGGAGAGCCATTTTTGCTTTCGGAAACTTCGAGCTTGAAATATTTATAGACAGGTCGAAGAGTTTCATTTAGCGAGCGAGAGCGTATGCCAAGTAGATTTAAATATTACACAGTTTTCTGAATTGTTTTTAGCCTTCCGGCGTAGTAGGAACATCTGGTACTGCACGGTTAAACATCCAAGCCCACGCAAATGTTTCGAAGAATTGAGAGGGGAATAAAGCAGTTTCGTATACTCGAGAAAGAATTGGTCATGCTGGCATTTATAAAGAACCATTCCTCTACTTTGACAAAAGCCTTTGCCAAGAGTTGCGCCATCCGATCATTTACTGATAGAGATCGGCGAATTTTTGTTCACCGGGCTTATTCTACTCTCTTTTCCCAATTCGGCACATGGTTTACATTTTAAAAAGACGATGCTGAGATATGATGAAACGTTACTCTGTCTCTCGGTTCGCATCTGACAGCTGTGACTGCGGTCAAACGAAAAGAAAACACTCCACTGCATTGCAGGAAGTTCTGCTAGACGACTAGCAGTATACAGATGGTGATTAATGACTGTACACACACACAGCTATCTGCTCGGTAATAGCAGCTCGTATTCTGGCGACAGAAATTACTGTTCACAAGAGCGGTTAGATCATCCCAACTGTAATCTTGGTATCAGCAAAGTGGTAAAGTTGCTGGTTTTCCACAACTCTACAAAATAAACGATGCTATTCAACATTATAGGGCGCTATCCCCTGACATTCGCCCACTTATATTGAATAGTATGTTATCGATACAGTAATTCAATGACAATACTAAAAGATCGTCCTATACTGGTTGTTTTCTCAATTATATCATGATATTATGGCTTTTTAGTTTAGATGTTACTAACAACAAATGACAAGCTAGCTGGATGATTCATGATGTTTTTGTTTTATTCCAAAACATAATGTTAGTGGTGAAAATACAATTGTTTATTGGCTAGTCTATTCGTTTTTATTGATATTAATTGACTGAATACAGAAAATAATGCCAGTGCTACCATTATCAAATTACATTCATTATCTATCAATTATTATTTTCTTAATGGATTGCATTCTCCACTACTAGGCTGTTGTAATAAGATCTTAGAATTCAAAAGAAAAATATTAAGTAATAATAATAATAATTTGATGGTTTGAGGGTATTTTACACCATGGTTTAGGTTTCACCTATTCACACAGTCTGTAGTTGTCAAATAAATTTATTAATGGTTGACATATATAATTGCAGTGATTCAATGCGAAAAGAATTTGTTTTTCCCATATATCATTAGTTAAAATATTTTCTGTAAATTAAAAGATTTTTATTGGATTTATTCAAAGTTATAAAATTTGTCATTACTTTTATCGGTTTTGAAGAATTTTATGCACTACACAACTGTTTGATATTATAGTATGTGGATTTTGTTTCTTTATTTTAATGCATACATAATTGTTATTAGTAATAACATACAAATATATGATTTATCTTTATTTAATTGCAGAACTGTCTTAAAATAGTTGTTTATTAAATCTGAAAGGATTTTCCACTTGTATAGTTATTTGAATTATATTTAATGCTTTTTGTAAATAATAACTTTTCACTTAATAAGTACTACAGATCTTTTAACTATGATTCTCTCTTGAATTTATTTTTAAAGAAAGAGTCTAAGTTGTCTTAAATGAATTCAAAATAAATAACTTTTTAATTAAAACAATTATAAATTAACAATGTCATATTAAATATAAGTTTATGTCATTTATAATTAAATTTAGTTTTATCTTAAACTCAAAAAAGAATCAATAAAATTACTGAGAAACATAATAAAGTTTTTCTAGTTTATTGAGAGTACATAAATTATTTTATCTCTGAAAACAGTAACAAAGAGGATTAAAGAAATGAATTAGTAATAATGTTTGATAAGTAAACCTCTGTTATCTTTTATTCCCTAGAGAGCAGCTTTAGCAGGTAAGGAAGCTTCCCAGTTGAAAGAACAACTAGCAGCTGCAAAACATTCTCTTCAACTTGCTGACCAAATCCAAAAGGCACCAGACATGGAACAAGCTGTAGACATTGTAACGAGGTCTTCCTTAGAAGTTGAATTAGCAGCTAAAGATAAAGAAGTAATTCATTTTATCAAACATAATTAATGTCTATTAGAAGTCTATTGAATTCATTTTGTAAAAAAATATTATAAAGTTGATTACTATCTATATTGCTATTATACTTAATTGATTTCTTTTAAAATATATGCAGTGCAACATTTTATGCCAAATAATCATATTTTTGATACATTCAAACAAATATTCTAAAATGACAAATAGTTTTTAAAACTCTATAATATAAAAAGAAAAAACTACAAAGATGAGAGGTTATTTTGCATATAATTGATAATTTTACAGACTTGATAGATTTGCCACTTTTCAACTATGTCTGATAAAATATATGAAAAATTCCAAAAATATTAGCAGTTTAAAACATTTTATTAGAATAAAATTAATGCTTCAAATAAATGTTAAATCTTAATTTAATCTGCATATTTAACAATGTAGTAATGATTTCAAACAAAAAATCATTTCGATAAAATTAACATCATTAAATTATGGAAGGAATTTAGTCACTACAGTAACAATTTTGATATTTGTTCTAAAAAAATATTTAATTTTCAATATAAATTTTATTTAGTTTGAAATTACTACATGTAATTTGGAAAAATATAATACTAAATTTATTTTTATCATATAGATATGTCATTTATGAGTATATGTTTTTTTTTCTTTATACATGATAATTAAATAGATTTTCTTCTTTTGTAGATATCTCAATTAGTTGATGATATTCAAAGGCTACAATCTTCATTAAACAATTTAAAGGAAACTACTACTACTAAAGTAAGTTTTATATAAAGTAATTTTCTGTATTATATAAAAAAATAAACTCTAATTAATAAACTTTAAAATATTTAATTTTTAATTCATTTCCTGTCATTTGATATAGTAATCCAAATCTTTAATATCAGAATACAAAATTATGCATTTCAGAGAAGGAATGTTTTAATGTTTTTGTTAAAGCTAAACTTCTTTTGATATACACCATCAGTTTTTCCTCATAACACATTATCATTCTTTAAAATATCAAGAGTTATTATAGTTCATTTTTATCTTTTATGTATATTCAAACAAATATGTATACAAATTATGGTTTTTGTCTACTCTAAGAAATAGCAATAAGTGTTCCTTAACAGTATTTATTTTTTATTTAGCAATAAAAGATATGAATTTTTTATATGAATCTTCATCCATTATCAATTTTAAATATTTTTCTCCTCTTTTATTAAATAAATAACATTTATTAATTAAAAGTTTATGAAAAAAATCAACAATAGAATTTTCACAGAAAAAGTTAGTCATTCTTTAAAAAATTTTAATTTATTTAAGTTAAAAACTTTATATGATTTTTATTTTAGTTGTACTAGAAAAGTTCAGGATGAAAACAATATAACATTCTTGTGTCTAATTGAAAAATTAAATTTGTATTATATCAATACATACTGTATTTCTTCATTATTTCTTATGTAGTTTAGATTTTATATTTTAAATATGTTTAAAAAGGAAAGAAAAGAGCTGTGATATGCAAATGCACAGATTAAATTGGATATAAATAACTATATAAATTTTTCAGTTTCTCACATCTGAGACAGTCAGATGTGAATAACTTATAAGAAAATGGAAGAATTGATTGATAGTGAATTTTATAAAGATAGTCGTGAACAATGTATAGGAAGTCTAAAGATTGATTGATAGTAATTTTTAACGTGGAGATATATATACTGTATATATGAATAAGGTCTTTTATATTAAAGTTAGAAATATTGAATATATAAATTAAATATATAATAAATCTATATTAAACACATATAATGATTATAAAAGAACGCTTTAACATTTTCTATTAGTTTTAGACAATATGAAATAATTATATGTTCAAAAATGTTACAAAATAGAAACATATAATTTTATTTATATCAAATTAATGTAGAGTTAAGAAAAACATTGTTACAGGACGAGATACTTAATACAATAAAGATTATTAATATACATATATATATATTTTTTTCATATATTTGTAATATTAGAATACTGCACAACTGAGAAGCAAATGATTAATAATAACAAATAAAATTAATTTTTACANGATTAAAATTACAGTTTATATAACATATAAAGAATCATTAATAAGTAAATATATGAATAATAAATAAGAAGAGTCATTATAATTTAATAGATTAATACACGTAAAAGTTAGTTCTGTAATATTAAAAGTTTGATTAAACATAACTACAAACTAGAAAAACTCTGCCACAAATTCAAAAATATGTGTAATGATGATACAACTAAAATTCATGGAGCATCTTCATAAATAATGAGAGATTGAATTTATATTTTAAAAAGTTTTTGATTATATAGAAAAAATAAATATCTTGAATTATTGTTAATGCAAAGAAGTTATTTTTATTTTCATTCATTTAGTCTTTTAAATTATGTATGATGAATAAAATTTAAAAGATTTGAAAAGGAAAACATTTCAAATGCAATTTAAAATATTCCAAGGTATTGGCAAATCAGACAAAATCATAAATCCATTATTATTATAAGAATCCTACGTCAAACGTATGATCAGAAGATGTAAATAAATCTGCCTAGAAAATAATTTTTAATGAAAATGGCTAATCTGGAAATTAGATAGAAATACATTATCAAGAAATTTAATATATTTTTTTCTTTATTCTGAATTAAGCACCTGAAAACATAATTTATGAAAATAAATTGATGGGAAATTAAAGATTTATTTTTAAATAATAGCAATTATTTATTCTTGAAGTTAGGAATAATAAATCTGCCTAGAAAATAATTTTTAATGAAAATGGCTAATCTGGAAATTAGATAGAAATACATTATCAAGAAATTTAATATATTTTTTTAAATGAATCTTAATATCATTTTTAGATTGCTCATTTAGAAGAAATGGTTACAGAAAAAGACAAAATTATTGAAGAAATGGAAAGCAAATTATTACGTCAGAATGATTATGATGAAATAAAAAGGGAACTCAGGTAAATTTAAATTTTATTGATAGAATTTATACTTAATTTTATCTCATTTATTTTGAAATTGTCTATTGTAATTGGTTATCAATGAAAATTTACAATAAAAAAAAGAGAATTAAATTTTAATAAAGTAAATCCATTAAGGTAAAATATTTTAAATTTGATAAATTTTAAGTACTAAGAATAAACAATACATTACTAAGTATATTAAACAGAATAACAATTAAGTGTACATTTAGAACATTTCAATAAAAAATGCAATTACAACATTTATTTACAATTATTGATTATTATTTTAAAATTTAGAAGCATCAAATTATTATGTGTACAAATTCATTACATTTTATTTTTTGTATTTATTGTCAAAATATTTAGTTTGTTATAAATTTACTTATTAATAAAGAATTTCTGTATTTGAAATTTTACATAGAAAATGAGATTATAAATTTAAATTATAACTTATTTATCTAAAAATAATTTTATGATATGGATATAAATTTTTTATACCCATATTTTGTTTAATTTAAAAATGTTGAAAGATAGGAAATTTTTATATAACCAAAAGCTATTGAAATAATATAAGAAACATAAAAAAAAAAGTAATTTAATATTGTATATTTCAAATAGAATAAAATATAACAGATTATAAATAATTAAAAATAATATGCTAAATTCATAAATATCTTTATATCTGTGTAAATTGAATTAAATGAAAATTTTCAATTAATAAATGAATTTCAATATGAATCTTTAACATTAAAAATATCATTAAAAAATCTGTTTATTTTTATTGCTTTCAATATACAGTATTTTTCTTTTGTATATAAGATTCACTAAATAACAATTAACTTAAATTTGCCATTTAAAACCAAGTGCAATAATTATTATATAATTATTTTATTTTGGTTAAATATATGAAGAGTTTATTCCAAAAACTTATTTATACTCAATTAGAAATTTCAATTCACTGACTGGATTCCATTAAGTTCAATTATCCAATTAAACACAGTTTGGTTTCTTAAAGAAATTCTTAGATAATTGAATTTGAAATTTGCTAATTATTTACATGAATAAGTTATTGCTGCTAGGTTATAAATTAAAGATTTTACATCTTTATTTTTAGCATGAAAATTAGTCTCTACCTTATAACCTGACACAATAATTTATTCATTTCAATAATTAACAAAAATTAAGTTGAAATGATTATATCAAATTATCTATATAATCAAATATGAATTTTTCAGTCCTGGTGTATTTTTTTTAATTGACTAATCTTTATCAATGTAATATGTGCTGTTACATGTATAAGGTTTTGAACAAACATAAATTACTTAACTGATTTATAAAACAGATATTACTTATAATTAAAAACAATAGAGAATTTTTTGTAGAATACTTATTATAGAATTATCTGTTTAAACTATTTATATAACATACTGCAAATATTCTGAAAATTTAGTTATGAAGTTCTAATTTTGTTTTTAAATTCCTTAGATCAAAAAAGTTTTCAAATAACAAAAATTATATTAAAACAGTACTGAAAATGATGCTTCTCTAGTAGCAAATATTTAAATAATTACATAAAAAATTTACAATTAAAATAATTGATGTGTTTATTATATTCAATTGCTTTATATTATTAACATGAAAATTACATTTATATACAAACTAATTAAATTCTATTTCTTGTATTTATTATTTACGTAGAATGAGGAAGTATATAATATTATATAAAATAATATTAATACTGCAATAATGCCATTAAGTACTTTCTTTCATTTTCTTAAAAACTACTGTTTTTATACATTTCAAGTTTTAAATAATGCATACAGTAAGAAGAACAAAATGATTTTTATCATTTTTTTTAAATCTCATAGTTTAAAAATTTATTATATTATTTTAAGAGAATAGTCAGTATGTTATGAATTTTTATTAATTTTTAAATTTTTACAAATTTTTTTTATACTTAAAAGCCATAAAATTATATTGTCATTATTTTTCACAGTGGTCACTTTAATTTATTAATATCAATTGTTCTTAATTATATTGTAAACAAACTAAAGATATTTATGAGATATTTAAATTCAGTATTATTCTGTTAGTTGTTTGTTTTTTCTTTCAATTATAATTATAAATTTTTGCAAAATATGATTGCTATGGCTAAATATAAATTTATATTTAAATAATTTAATAAACTTTTAAATTTTTATATATTCATTTTAGTCTTTTTATCATTGTTAGCCACAGTTTAAATATAATTTAAATTTATATATAAACTGTAACTAATAATGATAAAAATATAAAACTTTATCAAATTATTCTATGTTTAAGAATATAAAGATTATTTTATTTTGTAAACGTTCTTGATTGTAATTAATATTTTCTTAATTCAATTATTTAAAAATGAAACTTTAATTATTCTAATAATTTATTAACTTTGAGTCAATAAATAATTTTATAATATTTCTTAAACTAAATATTATAAACTAATATACATATACTGTTGTCAAAAAATAATAATAATAATGTCATCATTTATTTTTGATCTCACTGATTTTTCTGCTTTATAAACTTTTTAATGTGATCTTTATGTAATTTTTTTATTGATGTTTATTGTAATTATGATCAAATAATTTTAATTACTATATAAATTTTAAATTGAACCTAACTGTAATTACTGAAATGAAAATTTTTATTTTCAGCATACTCAAATCAATGGAGTTTGGAACATCACAGACTTGGGGTAACTCTTCACCAGATGATCAGGGTGGAAATAATTTATCTGGAGAAACAAAATCTACTAAACCATTAGAAGTTTTACTTTTAGAAAAAACAAAATCACTTCAATCAGAGAATACTGCTTTAAAAATTAACAATGCAGATTCAGCAGGTAAAACTTTTAACATTATTTTTATATATTGTTTACTTTTTATTATATATCTGTTTAAAATCTTAATGTCATTTATTAAAACTTTTAATCATATTTTTGATTAATTTTCTCATTTAATATTGGATATTCAGCTTTAATATTTATTTTATTTTTTAATTTCCTTTGCTTACTATAAATAAAATTTTCTATAAAATGTAATCCTGTATAGCTTACACAAAATAATATGGAATGTGATTCTATAAAATAATTTTGCATGGCTTTGCTTCTGTGAACACACTTCAGAGGCTACTCAAGAAAGGTGTATGAACGCTGTTATATAAATTTCATATTATTTATTCTCTGATTCTGAAGCATGCTTTTTCTACATATTTTTATACTGTGTATTCCATTTACTTCACAACCCATTATGTATTTAAATATCCCTAACTTCTGGAATATTTTATTTGTTGTAAATAAGAAAATCTCTTTTAAACCCCAGTGGTTCTGCACCTTTCTTGCAGGAACACCTCTTTCTGTGGGGAATGCTTTTCCTCCTCCACTTCAAAACGTCGAGGCATTCAGCTCATTATTAGGTGAGGAGATCGTGTCCAGGTATGCGAAAACAGTGGCAAAAGAGGAATGTAATAGTTGCCCTGCTACCCCCAAATCTTGTGAGGACACCAGGTCCTCTGGAACGGAACTATCTACCACTAGCATCAAACCTCCAGTGGAGTCATCACCAAGTGCTAAAGACTCCCCAAATGAGGTTACATCACTAGAAAAGCTCCAAGAGTGCCTCAAACAAAATATAGACAAATATGCAAATGAAACTTTAAATACTTTGAGTATTTCCCGGTGTGTGCGAGAACTGCTAAGTGTTCATAACATTGGACAACGTTTATTTGCCAAGTTTATTCTTGGTTTATCCCAGGGAACTGTTAGTGAATTACTTTCAAAACCAAAACCATGGGATAAGTTGACAGAAAAAGGTCGAGACTCTTATAGAAAAATGCATGCATGGGCTTCAGATGAAACTTGTATATATATGCTGAAGACTTTAATACCACGAAAAGGTAAGGTATATATTTTAATAATTTAAAATGCATTTTACTATATTTAAATAACAAGCATAAGTTTAATATAACATATTTTAAAATTGTTCATTTATATCTGTTCAAAGTAAAATGCTCATCATGTGCCTTTTACTTAAAATACTCAAATATAAAGCTAATAATATATTTTTAAAAATTTAAAAACTCAAGCAATACTAATGAAATGTATTTTAAAATAAATTTATACTATATTATTTATTTTTAATGAATTAGAATAAACTATCAGGAGATTAAAACAAATTATCAATAACTGAAATTTTAGCAAATATGTATATTAATAAGTCATTGAATATTATTGATATTCACTAAACAGGTTAAAAATAATTTATTTTTTAAAAGTTCACTAATATTGATACCTAGCTTATTTTAAAATTCATTAAATTTACCATACTTTTTACAGAAAGTATTTTAATTAAACTTCTTTTTGTTATTTTGTATTTTATTATTACAAACACTTTTCTGTGTATTTTTATAAATAAAGAAATAGATAGCTCCATAACTTGTAAATATATAATTTCCTTATATGAATTAAATAATAGAATTAATTATAAAGTTGTATTCTATTTTTCTATCAATGATTCATTATTATAGTGAATGGAAACAATAATTTTCTATTATTTCAAATATTTTTGAAAGAATCATCCTTTATGCTTTTCAAACTCATTCATTTATTATTAATTATAAAAATTTTTCAAAATAATAAAATGATATATACAAGTCAAAAAATTTCACTTACAATATTATCAATATATATGACTTTTGTGACAATTTTTTAATATATTTTTGATGATATTACACAAAAAACAATGTATATAATTAATATAATTATATTTTAGTTTTTTAGGTAAATTTCAAATTTTTTGTAAATTTCCTTTTTTGTAAATTTATATTTACAATAAGGAAAAGTTTTGATAAATATGAAATTGAATACACCTAACATAATTTATATTTTTGTGTGTTAGTGTGTTGTTCTGAGAAACCATTTCATTTTTAAAAAAATATAATAGCATTTTTACTACTATTATGAGAATACATTAATTTTAAGGCTGAAAATGTAGACATAAATCATAACTAATAATTTTTATTACAAATATTAAATTATACATTATATTAATATAATATAAGTAACATCTTTCATAAAGCCACACTAACTGTTGTATAATATCAGGCCATATTCTGTCAATAATAATTATTATTGCTGAATTATAGTCTGATATTATACAGTAGTTGGTGTGACTTTATGTTAATAAATCAGGTTTCAGAAGATGTTTATATTAATATCTTTTAGTTTTCTTTTCAAAGCATAGAAGACATTCTTCAATATAAATTTATATTTAATTTTTAAATATATAACATATGTATTAAACATTATATTCATGCCTATCATACATATAATTTAGTAATATATTACTAACATTTATGTTCTAAGAAAAATATTTTATAACATAATATCAAATAATACGTATTAACAAAAATTTGATATATCTGCAAAAATAATGTAATATGCTGTTCCTTGCTCTCATGCATCTTCTAAATGTATGATTATCATAAATATAAAAAAGAAGATAAGTTATTATTTATCTCAAAATAACTGACTGTAGCTAATGATGCTTTTACAATCATTATGTGATTACAGACTTGCAAAATTTTTTAATAGAAAGTAGAAAAAAAATAATATTTTGTAAGAAAAGACAATTGGCATCTTTCATTCTTAGCATATTTTAATCTTCCTAAAATATTGGCATGGAGTTTCTTTACACCCTGTACATGTCAGAAAAAAATCTACGTATATAAATAACACTAATGAAGAAAATGTTGTAACTACAATTCATATTTAATTAATTTTTTCTTTACATTTTAAGATATAAACATAGACCAAATATATTAACAATATTATTGAATTATAAAATTACATAACTAGAGTAATACAGCAGTATTACCAGATTACAGAAATGAAATTTAAGGTATTTATTTAATTTATATAATATACATATATACTTGTTAATTCATGTGAATAAATTCTTTTAATATAATTTTAATAATAAACTCTGATTTAAAGAAATAATTTAAACTGCAGAATTTAAATTCAAACATTAAACAAAATTTTTTAAGGATAAATATAATTTGAATAACTGATATAAGAATAATTTTATTTTGTGATTATCATAAGTATTTTTACTTTTATAATAAATTTTAAGAAAACAAATTTCTTGTTTAAAGTATTTTAGAAATAAAAAATTGTTTTTATAGAACTGGAGACACTCAAGTTTTAGCTTATTTTGCTTTAAAAATAAATATTTAAAAAGGTTACAATTTATGTAAAAGTAGGTATAAAAACCATTTTGTAATAAAATACTAGAAATGAGAAATACTTCAATTTTAATTAAATCAGTAATTCCAAAATTGGCAATATGTGAAGTTATAACTTAAGAAAATCATTTCACATTTACTGTCTTTTATCATACAAAACAATTTATATATATATGTATTAAATGGATTTATTTGTTTTTCTGTAACAAGTATTTCAGATTTGCTAATCCAACATAACAATATTAGAAAGTTGAGTAGATATATTACAACATTTAGTTTTTGCAATATTTATTTTGCATTAACAAGTAAAAATTTGTAATTATTTAAGAGATTTGAATAAAAAACACTTTCATGATCATACTTAATATTTTATTTCACTTTTTCATTTTTCCTTGTATCAAGAGTATTCATGCTTTAGATTAATAATTATTAATCTAAAGCATGAATGTTAACTATTAACTGTATATCATTTTTAATATATATATATATATAATGAACGAAAGATATTTCATGTCATAAAAACTATTGAAACAGCATTTCACTAAAGTCCATGCAGAAAAGAAGTATTTACAATGAAATCCCAGACATGTTTAATAGGCAACATGTCTGGTGAATGGGCAGGCCAAGGAAGAAGTGATATCTATTGTGCTGAAATCTAGAAATTTCTAGGAAAATGTGGATAGGCATTGTCCTGTTGAAATACATCTCCAGGAATGTGTTGAAGAAAGAGTTCAGGCTTCACAACTTCTCTGATGTAGCAGTTGCTGCATCACAATTCTGAGCAGCCAAGATTGTCCATGATATGCAATAGCATCCCAGACCATCATGCCTTGTGATTGCCCAGTATGACACTGGATAATGCATTGTGAAAGATGGCATTCACCTCTATAGCATGTAACACGTACTTGGCCATCACTGTACTCTAAATAGAAGCAGGATCTATCAGAAAAGACAATTAGTTGCCAATTGGCATGCCAGTAGCTGTGTTGATGAGTCCATTGTAGCTGCAGGTGTTGATGGTTTTGTATCAGGGGAGTCCTGCACAAAGGAATTCTTGCATGGTGCAGCAGATGTTGGCAAACTGTGGATGCAGACAATGGCACACCTGAAGCAGTGTTCCAATGTTGTGTCAACTGTTGAGATGAAGCTGTATGATCTGCAATTGTCATACAGATGAGGTGTCTGTCATCACATGCTGACATAACANATATATTAAAAATATACATATACATGTACATATATATAAAAGCTTTTATTTGAAAAAGTATTTTTTTTGAACAAAAGAGTGAAGAGTACAAAAATTGATGAAACTTAAAAATTTAAATTATATATACTATTTAATTTAGTATTTAACAAATATTTTATATTAACAATCTTTAGTTTATTACTTCTGTTGTACAAATCTTTGCTGAATTTTAAGGTTAATGTGTTTAATTTATCTTGGAAAGATAAGAAATCTTTTAATTAAAATTTGATCTCATTTTTATCTAATCTGATGATAATTATTATAACATGATATAATATTATGACTCAATATGTGAATAAGAAATAATTCATATCCTATATCTTCTGAAAAAAAGGATACTGTTTTTATTAAATAATGGTTTCCTCTTCAAGGTTAATTGTGAAATGTTTTATAACCAATTCTGACAACATGATGTAATTCAATTAATTTATTAACAATTCTATTGATACTCAAGTACAAATAATACCAAAAGAAAAAGAGAAGTTCCTAGTAGAGTTGATTGAAAAATATTATTGTTAATTTACTACTAATATTTATCATTTTTATATTAAAAATTTCTGTATTCAGGATTTAAAAAATGTTTGTGGTAGTAATCATTTCACAATTATTGATGATTATTATTCTAGTATTAAATATTTTGTTAATCTTTCTAATTCTTAAAAATAATATTAAATATTATTTATTAAGGAGACAAATTCTCCTACCCCCTTGTAACAATTTAAATCTTAAATACAATAAAATTATTTGTTTATTTGATAAAAAAAATAATAACATTAAATATAAAAATTGTTGTATTTTTACTCTTAATAATAATACATGTAAAAATTATATATACATGTATATATATTTTATCAAAATTCCTTTATTATTTTAGCACTATGTAATTATGTTATGATAATGCATTGTGATATATCAAAAATTGATAAATTGTTCTCAAAATAGAAAAATCTAACCTATTTTATTTACAAAAGATCTTGATTTTTCACAGATAATTACATTGATTTAAAAATAAAATGTAGAAATTTTCAAATATAAAATAAGAAATTAAAAGAAAAACAAATTTTAATTTTAGTCAGACTTTACTATTTTAAATGTAAGAAAAATCAATTCATAATGAATATTTTTTATCATCTCTTCATTTTATACATTAACTTGAATTTTTTATTAGCAAAAAATAATTGAATAATGTATATCCAATGAATTTATTTCAGAGTATATTTTTATATTATTTTATAAAGTGTAATTAATAATTTAATAGTTTCATTAATATTTCCATGTCAGATATGATAATTTGCATTTTTAAATTCACTTTTTTGGTTATTGCTTTATATTTGAGTAATTACATTTTATATAATTTATAAAATTTTTAATTAAAAAATTTAATTTTGTATACATGAAAACTTGCAATTCGTTTATATGACAAACTGTCAATTATTTATTTTTAATTATTGATAGTTCATTATGTCAGTGTTTAATTACATATGAAAATTGCATATGATACAAAATTAATTTTTATTCAAAAATTAGTGTTTAGCATTAATTTTAGAATATAATTAATATATTCTGTTAAAAAAAAACTACATTTTTGTAAAACTTACAGTATATTTTACAATTTTTTCTTAACATCATTTATATCTTTTGAATGATATATATATATTACTGTATGTATAAGATTAGTATGGACAATTTTATATAGATTAAAAATCATTTTTGTGTTGCTTGCAAAAAAAGTTCAAAATTATGTAACAAATAATAAAAGTTAATGTAAAAAATATATTAAATTATGCAGCATATTATAAAAATTATAATTAAAGTAAATAATGAGAATTAATGAAAATGATTTAAAATATATCATGACATTTTTTTTGAACTTTTTCTGAATGTATTCTGTTCAACTTGACATTTGCTTTGATATATTTGATGATATTTTTGATGGCCATTTTGATGTTAATCTTTATTGAATTAATATTTTTGGATGGTTGCCATAAGATGTCTCCAAAGTGAAGAGAAATGGATCTGTTGAACTGAGGAATATTTTCAAAATTTTTTGCAAGCAACATTCTGATGAAATTCCATCCTTAAAAGACATTCCAATCTGGAAAGGTAAATGATTTGAAAGATTGATAAAACAAAATGCACAAAGAAACTATTCATGATATATTAACATATTTAACTTTTTTTTTCTTTTGGTTAGCTAGTGATACTTCAGAATCAGCTTACAACTGTTTTGTTAGTATCTTGTTTTTCCAGTGTACAAAACAAAAATAAAAATTTCAATTTTTAAAATTATGTAATTTAATAATTTTATCATCTGGTATATAAATTAATAATTGCTTTTAGCATTTTTATTGAAAAAACTTTTCAAATAAATCATACAAAACTTTTAGTTGAAATTCCAAAATTTAACAAATTTGAAAATTAATTCTTTGTTACAAATTTTTAAAATATACAATAAAATCTAAAGAATAATTTTTTAAACATCTCTTAATATTCAATTGTTAATCTAAAAATTGTTTTAAGTGATAACATGTTCAGATAATTTATTATTATTTAGATGCTCACTGCATAAAAATTATCAAAATTTCTGAAATATTCATGTTTTAAAATTTAAATAATAGTGAATCTTTCTGAGGAATTAAGTAATGTTTAGGAAGGTAATTATTATGAGATTAATTCAAAGCATTTCTAAAAAACATTTATCACTTTTTGGATGTATCTTCAGAAATTAATCTGTTTCAATAAAGAAAGTTATTTTGTGATTTTTTTATTAATTATTATTTAAATAAAACCAAGCAACTTTAAAATTGATTTGAGATGTAATATTTTAATTACAATTATTAATATGAAGTACTTAATAATATATTTTATATCAGCAATAATAATTTTTAGCAATAAGTAATTTATTCTGAGTAATTATAATGCTGATTGAAATATTAAAATACTAATAACTTATTAATAACAAAAATTCTTTAACAGGCAAAGAATCAGGAGTTTCTTCTTATAAACAAGAAGATGCTGCTGCAGAAGAAAGGATAGCACAAATATTAAATGAAGCTCAAATGGCAATGAATAACAAATCTAGTAAAAGCCCATTGCACAATGGTATAGTCAGTTGCAATGTAGATATAAAACCTGGATCTGAAAAAAATGGGGATGACTGTAGAGGGGAAGGTGGGGGTTCAGGGACAGAAGGGGGAGGAGGGAGAAGGACTCCTTATAACAATCATAATTATATACATAACAATCACAATTTTAAAGACTGTTCATCTAGACGCTCGAGGAAATATGAAAATGATGATATTCCACAAGAAATGGTTGCAAGAATATATCAAGAAGAACTGGCGAAATTGATGGGTCAACGGGTAGAAGAAGGTTTTCGTCAGTCACGGGATCAGTATGAAAGAACTCAGGACGAAATTAGACAAGCACTCAGTATTTATCATCAAGAATTATCTAGACTTACTCAATTAGGATCTGTCACATCAGCTAATTCCTATAGTAGGTACAATAATATAACTGCTGGTGGATTAGTGAATGGTTCTACTTGCACTTTTCCAGGCTTATCAATTCGTGTTCCATCAGGTTCAACGAGAGAAGATGGTCCAATCGATGCAACTGTACAATCAAGAAATCGTCAGGAGCAGAAAAATGCCGGAAGTGTAGATTCGGACAACTTAAGACATCACGGAAGTGCCTTCTCTTTAGTGCGGCCAAAAGCAGAGCCAAGCACGGGCAGTGTCAAATCATTTGTACGCAATTCAACACCATCTCCCACACCACCTCTCCTGCCACTTTCAGAATCGCCTGCTGGAGGTGAGGACTTGACTTCTTCAGCATCACCACTTCAGCGTATGCAGTCTATCACTAACTCCCTATTGTCACAATCTTCAGTGCCCAATCTTCCAACACCACCTCAACGACCAGCCAAAGCAGTATTGCCACCTATCACTCAACAACAATTTGACCAATATAATAATCTGAATACTGAAGATATTGTAAAAAAGGTAATAATTATATTATAAATTAATTTAATATATTATTTATTGCTATATAAATTTTTTATCTCATTGTTTTTTCTTATGTTTACTATTAGTACAATATTTACAGTTTCATATAAATTACAGTAATTATACTTTTAATATTTTCAAGTTTTTTTTTCAAATCTTACATTGAGTTTTACAACATTTTTGATGTCAGTATAAAATTTAATAGAAATGAAAGATTCAATATTATAATAATAACTGGTGTAATTTTCTTCTTGTAATTAAATTTGTATTTGCTATGAAACATTTTAATCTAAAACAATTAATTAAAAAAGAATCTGTTAGTATTTTGTAAATCTGATTTTTGAAATAATATTAAGGATTTCTTCTCCTGTGACTTGCAGCTTTCTCCAAAACATACAACTTTAGCAGAGAAGCATATGTTAAGGAGTAAAAATAAATTTTCATTTTAATATAAAGGTGGTTCAAAAAGTAGTGGATAAAATTTTATGGGGGTGATCAATTATTCAATTTATGATAAAAAATGTAAATGCACTCCTGTTCAGTTATCAAACATAATTAAGTTACAGAAAAAAAATCTTTACATCAGTTTTAAGTTTAGTTAGCACTGCAAAACAACAAAAATAAGTAAATTGACTGCTCTCATATTTGTAAAAGTGTTAATTTTGTATTTGGCAACACTCAGTATTGTAAGTTAGATAGTATTACACAAAGAGTAACATTTCTTGTTTTCAAAAACATTCATGTTTGAAAAATGACTTTGAAATGAAATGATGAATTTAAACTGATAGTTAACTAAACATAACCAATTTCTAAACTAATAAACAGTGAACTGTGGTAATTTTTACTTGTTAATGTTGAAATAGTAAACTGATTTGAAATAAAAGTATTTTTGTAATTTGGTTATTTTTGAGAATTGGATATGAGTATATTAACATTTTTTACTGTAAAATGAATAGTTGATTACCTCATGTATTATTGTTTATTGCAAAGACCTTTCATATTTATTCTCTAGTATTTTCTGTTCTATCAATATTATATGTTTACAAACAATATTAATGGATCCTGTAAACAATAGTGTGCTCACAAAACAAACATACTGTCGGATTATAATTGACAAAAAGTGAGTTGGATTAAGAAAGTTATAAATTATTCAATGACAACTTTTTACTTTTATATGAATTTTGAAATTTTGTGAAATATGTTGTAAGATTTTTTAAATAGAAAATTTTTTCAAATTTTACAACAAATCTATTTCCTCAAAAATGTGTGAAATAACAGCTATAACATCTTAAATGAAATATTTTATATGTACATTTAAACATATAATACATTTTGAAATACTTTAATATGATTTATCTATTTCATACACTATATAATTCAACTTGATTTCTTTTAATTTTAATTTATAATTGTATTAATGACAAAATTAAATTTTATTATGTAAATAATTTTTATGTATGTGATATAAAAATGTTTAAAAGATCACACAAATATGACATCTGCACTGGGAAGGGGGATATATATGAATTTTGCAACAGGAGTGAGAAGTTTTAGTAGATTAATGTTCTAAAGATTCTCAAAAGTTTTTCTATTTGAAATAATTTTTTTTACCAAAATCATTATGCAACACTAAATATGCTGCAGTGGAACTTTTAACAATGAAAAGATAACACTAACAATTTAGCCTTTATAGATACAGATTATGGATAAAAATATCAAAGATATACCAGTATGTAATATATTATCTTTAGTCTAAGAGTCACCCAGTACAATGTCATCAGACTCTTCTGTGTTTAATCAGTGAATTTCATTTTTTTTCCCTATAGCCTGTTTTTAAAATTAGCCTTGCCATGGCAGGAAATATGAATAAATTAATATACTGTGGATCTGTTTTACAGAAATGCTTGATTTTAATATTAGGGAGATGACAGATCATGTGTGACATTAGCATGGAGGATGTCTAAACATTCATGACAAAATGTGACAGGGAGGGGATAGGTAGTCTAAAAGAACTTAAAATTGATGAAATCACATTTGAATAACCTCAAGATAAGCAGTTATTAAATAATATTATTTACAGTATATTATTTTTAACAATATTTTTTTATTATTTAAAGAATTTTATATTTTAATCTTACATATTAAAAATCATTAAGAAAAAACTTAATTAGAAAGCTATATTCCAGTTATGAATTGAATATAAATTAGTTTTAAATACTTAAAACACTTTTTAAAGTGATGCTGTTTATAATATTTGAAGATAGGAAAAATTGCAAATACCAGTATTAAAAACTAAATATTTTTGTTATACAGTATTACATAAAGGAATAATTCAATTTTTATATATATTTTGATAGTTAGTTTTTATATCTCTAGAAAAACAGAAAAAGTTATGAAGTCTATACATTTAATATTTGATACAAATGATTAATATCATTTTCTGAATTATGATGCTTTTTTTTTTGTTAGATATTCAAATTAGATCAAATGATGTTTCTGCTAATATGTGCTATGGCTCATATAACAACAGAAACATTATCTGATTCAAAAAATTATGACAATAGTGAAAAAGAAGAAAGGATATTATTTATTAACAATGACAAAATGATAAAACTACAACTTACTAATGGCACTCATAAACTATATTTTTTCATTGTTGAATAAGAAAGAATTATTTACAATTATAGATTACAACTGTTTTGTTAAAAAATCAAAATATAAATCATTTTATAAAAAATATTTAAATAGATATAATAATATTTGAAAGACAATAATTCTAGGATAATAAATAAACATACATTCATATTTGCTTTCTGTCAAGGCCTTTCAACAACAGTTTCCTGAACGGTTAAAAACTAATAAAACTGTCTTAATAAAGACATGTTAATGTGTCAAAAAACCTTGAAAAGAAATAAATATAATTGTTTTTGATTAGAAAACTGTTGTAAAGATTATTACTTGATATGATTTTAAATATCATATTGTTGTTCTAAATGTTAAAATTGACTTTTCATTTTTCATTTAAAACTTTATTTAATATATTTCTAAAACTTCAGTGTAAATTCATATTTTCAAACAATAAATGATAAAAATTATTATTATTAATATGTAATTTTCTGATGACAGTTAAAATAATATAATGTGAATTACTATTAATAATATATATATAAATGTTGATCATCACAAATAATTTTGATAATAACCAGGAAGTTGCTTTTATAAAATTTTATATTTCTGTAGGGAAATGTAATCAAATTTTTATTTTAAATATAACTATTGCAATAAAATTCATATAATGAACCACTATTATATTAATTATATATCATTTCTGTATTCAATATAAATATTAACTTTATGACAATATATAAAATTTAAATTTTATGATGGATGAAATAAAGATCATTTGTCAAATGTTTGGTATATTTGGTCTAAAAATATGATATATATATATATATATATTTTAAAACTATAGCTACTAAACTTGTCAATTGTATGAGATAATATAAAATTCATTTTTCTTAATATTATCTAAAATAGTATACTATATTACAAGACGTTCTAAATCATATAAAATATTATATTAAAATAAGGTCATTTGTAAAGCACATTATGGAGTGTTAAAAAAAATATCACTTTAGTTTTTGATAGTAAGAAAATATTCTTATATTTGAATTTAAACAATAATAGTAGTAAAATTACCATTATTATTCTTTAAATTCAATTCAGTAATTATATTAACTGAATAGTTAATATAATTATTTTATAGATTTAAATTTCAATGGCCTAATTATAATAAAGTTGTCACAAAGTGAATGCTTTTCATTCAGCTCTGTATGAATCATCATTAGAAATAAAATGATAAGAGGATTAATTAATCTGTTATTATTTTTTAATAAAAAATGAGATATCCAAATAAATAGCTAAATGAATAATTGTTTTATTATTAATACAAAAATCAATAGATTTAATAACTTAGTTCCCTTATTAATATATGAAATATAAATGTCTATCTGCTAAAAAAAATGGGGTCTCTCTCTGTTTTTTAAAAATATTATTTAGTTTTCAATTTCAAATGATAATTTAAATAAAATACAATTATAAAGGATGATAAAAATCAAACTGAATTATCAAAAAAATTTTCCTCCTCTAATAATAAAAAAATACTTTAAAAAACTGTTGGAACAAATTTAAGACAATCACTTAAAAGTGAATGCTATTAGCAAAATTTTTTGTTCCATAATCAGAGTATTCAATCAATACTTAATTTTTTTTGTTTTTTGAAATTGACATTAGATGAATGTTTGATAGAAAATATTCAAATAAAAATATAATGCACAAAAACATCATAGTAACTATATTATTTGATATAATTATTTATGAATTTTCATTGAAAAAATATGTCAATAATTATCTGCATAATAACAAATATATGGAGAGAAATATCCATCATTGGCAAGTTAAGTCAATATATATGATTCTTTAATGATACCTATCATATAAGGATTGGAAGAAAAGTTTCTGGCCTAACACGAAGCACTTGTCATAGACAACTGAAATTGTAGGACTATTCTACAGAGCCTCTATGACGTGTGTTGCACTTGTTCCATTGGTCTTCCAAGTTTGTGAAACTTTCACACCAATCCTGCACAGCTGTCATCACTTTATCATTTGGAAAATGTTGTTGTTTCATATGTCTTTTTATTGCTGGAAAAAGATGAAAATTGGATGGTACCAGATTTGGTGAATGTGACAGATGTTCTAATATTTTAAAGGTGTATTTGTCATTTGTCAGGAGAGTTTGATTGGCTTTGCGACTGGTTGCCTTGATGAAATATGACTTCTCTTCCCATTTCCCAGACATTTCTCTTTGATTGCATTGTGCAATTGCTGCAATAATGCAATGCAGTAGTTGTCTTTAACTGTCATACTTTTTGCCAAAAAATTAGCCAACAGCACTCAATTGGCATTTCTAAAAATTGAGGTCGTGATCTTGGCTG